GCACTACGGGAGTTGTAACTCTCTGAGGGGAATAGGGTGGGGTGGTCTCCCCACTCTCGTCGCTTCTAACACTCCCGTCGCCAGGACACTCTGGCGGAAGCCCAGGCTGCTTAGAAATTGTAGCACCCTGCTTGTGGTTAACGCTTAGCTGGAATGAAATATTCAACGCAGCAATAGAGAAATTAAAATAATAATTTATTTGTCAGACAAATAAATGAGAGGCACAGTGGTATATGGTTACCAAGCTCTGGCCTGGCCTCCTGCCATTATGGCCAGCACTTATATTCCCTTAATCCAGCCCCCTTTGCTCCTCCTGTGGCTGCCTCTGTCCAATCAGCCTGGTTGAAATTCCTATTGGCTGATTGCTATAACCAATCCTAAAAGATACACCCATATCCTCCTGTCCTTATATGGAACACAAAGAGCTATATATTGTTACATCTATAAATGACAAATAAGTAGTAATATATCTTACATGTGTCTCAACAAGGAATCTTAATTACCAGCTCACCTCTTGCCCTCCTTGCCCTATTGCCTTCTAAAACAAATGGTTAATCTTAAATTTTATCTTAAACATATGTCAAGGATCTTGAGTTCACATCAACATTGAAAGATCTCCTTCATTTGAAGGTTTCTAAACAAATGCCTGACAACTATATATCAGGAGTGCTCGATGGCGTCTCCTGTCTGGCAGGGGGGCTAGGCTGGTGGCTGACTTAATTTCAGGATAAATACAACTCTTACAACTATATGAAATAAGAATCTAGCATTTCTTAAATCCTTTGCATAATTACATTTAAGCCAATATATTTAATACATAACATAGGTAGCCTTTTAAAAGGAATAAGGCCTTTGTAAAGTAAAAAAGGAACTCGGTAAAAAACAGCTTCAAAAGAAGCCTCTTCAGTTTACACCCCCCCCCCTCAGCCAGCTGCTTTTCCCATTAGCTCTTCCCAACATTTATTGCCCTTTAACTCTCTCAGTTTAAGAAAGAAACAGCTTTAGAAAAGACTTCCCAAAAATGCTCTCTTTCTGCCAGCTAGATGCTTCTCCATTGCTCTTGGCCTTTTTAACCTTAGGAAGAAGATCTGGCTCATTTTACTGGGAGGCACATTGGTATTATTTTACTATTTACTCATTCCTAATTATGTTTATCTCTGCCTTTTTATCTTCTGTAACATGTAGGGTCAGTGTCCTCGCTCTCAGCCTGTAATTCCCCCTTTTACGACTTTGAGAATTGTTTTCTGCTATAAATCAAGGGGCCCCTTGTCTAGGAGGAAAACATTGCCAAGGTTCTCTAAGCAGCTGGTCTTCTGCCTGGCATGAAACATTTGAAAATCTTTAAGCTCTCTTTAATATACAAGCCCTGATCAAACATTAATAAAATGCAGGCTTATGATTAGATGCCTCAAAATGGCGTGTCGCTGCTTTAAACATGCAGCGCGGAAGCAGAGCCATATCTGGGCTCCCTTGCGCCCTTGGTGAGGAGATGTGGGGCGCACAGGCAGCTAGCCACTCCGAGCCAGAGTGGAGAGGGTTTTTTATGCCGCCGCCCCCCCCCCCGAGCCTGTGCCCTTGGTGGGGGCCTGCATAGCCAACCCCTAGGTCTGCCCTGTGCGGAAGTTGGGAGAAAGGCGCAAAGGGTGCTGTGGGTGCAGGAGTCGGCTCTCTCCCTGTGAAGAGAAAAGGGCCTGGTGTTGCGGGCGGGGCGGGGGAGAAGGGCAGGGGCACTGAAGAGTTGGCTCAGGCAGGTTTTTTTCTCCAGCAGTGCCCTGTGATCCAGAAGGGGGGTGGCTCCTGGATTGTCCCTGGCTCTAATTGCAGAGTAGGGTGTTACTGAGCCAGAAAGAGGGGCATTTATCGGGGCAGAATTCAGCCAGAAAGAGGGAGGTCAAATAGGACTGACTGGAACATGCCTCCCCCTGCAAAAAAGGGGGTGGGAGGGAGCCCAATGTGTGCCCCAGAAAGCAGCCCAGAATCATCTGCCGGGTGTCTGAGTCTAGTTGTAAAGGGAGGCAGTTTGAGAATCTCTGGTCTCATGATTTGAGAGGAAGAAGGGCCATGAGATTCTCAGCCCAATTCTGACAGGAATGGTGCCTGGGCGTTTTGGTGGGCTGCCTGTTCCCAAACTGGGAAGGCAAAGCTCGACTTGGTGAATTAGGGAGTCAGGGACTCCTAGGTTCTCCTCTAACTGTGCTGGAAATATGGGGTTTAGGGCAGGCTTTGCCAACATGGTGCCTCCAGCCATTTGGGGCTAAACCCCCCACCTGCCATAGCCATGGGCACGCTGACTGGCGAGCAGCTACAGTGCCAAACCACTGCAAGTGGGCAAAGGTTGGTCTGCGGGGCTGGAATGAGCAGAGGGTGGGGAGACCATTCATTCTGACCCTGCTGGGCACCAGAGCTGCATAACCGTTGCTGAAGATCCCTGGGGATGACAGTTCCAGTAGCATTGTCAGGGAATGCTTTCAGGTGCGCTCATGCTTGGACGATGCGCAAGCCCCTCTGCTGGGTCCTGGCTTCCCCCTTCAGGCTGTGTGTCTGCAGCCGGGCTCCCTCGCTGCTGCTGCTGCTGCTGCTGCGTCTTTCAGTCTGCTGCGTCTGTCCCTGCTGGGCGTTTGGTTGCTGAGAGGAGACTGAGCTGTAAACGGAGGGGAAAGCTTCTTCTTTTTAGCTGCTGTGTGTCTAGACTTCCTCAGAGCTGGAAGCAGAATTCCAAAGGTCTTGCTGCCCTGCCTGCCTACCCTGCCCATTTCCCACGAACCTGAATGTTTGTGTGTGTGCACGAGGGGGCGCCATATTACAAGAACTGGATTTGCTGAAAGGGGATTAGAATGGGCTGCAAAATGGACCCCAAAGCCCTGGCCCTGACCAGCTGTGATTGTGCCTGTGGGTTAACTGCCTTTGCAGCCATTGATGGCCTCAATAGGAGGCCAGGAGAGACAAAAGGAAATATTGCTTCACAGAACATGTAACTAGCCTGTGGAATTCATTGCCACTAGGTGTGGTGGATTTCACTACCACAAGCCTCTAGGTTAGGTGGCTGTAAAATAAGATTTAACAGAGTCCTGGTTTTAAAATATGCACACTGCAAAGTCCTGTGGTACCTTAAAGACCAACCCATTATAGCATCAGTTTTTGTGGACTAAAGGACACCGCCAGTGGATTTAGTCACCCAAGCTGATGAGAACATGATGAGAGTCCAGCACCCTCTTCTCACAGTGGCCAGCCAGGTGCCTGTGCGAAGCCTGCCAGCAGGACTTGAGTTCTCCCCTGACATTCAATTCTCAGCAGCTGGTATTTAGCGGTGGACTGGCTCTGACTGTGAGGGTAGAAAATAGCCTTTGTGGCTCTTCGTGATTCCATATTAAAGACATTTGTGATGGCTAACTCTGGAAACAGTGGCAATGGAAGGTCCGTCGGTGGCTGTTTGCCTTGATGGCTGCATGGACCTTCCATGTACACAGGCAGTCAATCCTTGAGTCCGGTCAGGTAATGAACCTCCATTTCATGCATTGTTTGTGAAAGTCCAGTGGCATCGCTGACTGCTTTTGGAAACAGAAGGGTTGTGTGGCTCCCGTGCGCTTCTGTGAGGCTTGTGTGAATGTCCTGGTGGATTCATGAGCCCCATGTTAATGAGTGGAAGGCAGACCACCATTTTAAAATTACTATTATTATCATTAGATTTATTATCCACCAGCAGGCCCCAGGTCGCAGCAATAGAGGACACAGTATTAAACCCAGCTTGAAACAAATTATAACCATGACTAGAGTGGGTGCTAAAAATATATGTACCTAGAGTGTCAAATTTTGATTTTCCGCTGCAGGCAGCAAAATACCAAGAGTTGTGGGGAGATTGGAGCCTGCCATAATTTGAACAACCACACTTTACACAGCAGATAATAAATAAATAAATAAATAAATAAATAAATAAATAAGCAACAGCAATATGGGAAGTGGGAGGAGGAAGGGAGAGTTTCATTTCACCAGGAACAAAATACTGAGCTTTGATGATGTGACGTCCCCATGCCAGGAGCGCTGCGGGGAGAGAATACGCCTGGTTCCTTGGTGACAGATGACTAAGTACTGCACATTTAGTGCACCCAACCATCTTTACATTCTGGAAGGCCGTGATGCGTTTTGGAAGAGATGGAGGCCGTGTTCCATAGGTTTCTTTGGGTAGGAACCGATCTCGAAGATAGAGGGATTCTGTTTTAAATGTCAGTAATACAATAAAGCAGCGCAGAGCAGGCAGGAATGATTGTGCTCAGAAAAGATGCTGACCAAGGCTGGAATATTCTTTAACAGCAGATAGCCACACACATTCATGCTCCATCCTTGCTCAAATTCAGTTTCCAGGGTCAGGATTGTACTAAGCCGTCCTGTCAGCACAAGGGCAGCAGGAATTCCCCTTCCCTTCCAGCTGTGTGTGCCTTGAGTCCACTCCAGATCTGCTCTAGAGGGTTGGAGGGAACCCCTAGACTAGATTTAGGCTGGGGGGGGGGCTTCCATTGTGCTGCAGAAATCCTTTTGATGACAGAACTACTTCACATTGCATATCAACCCAGGACTTCTGTTCCCTCCAGTTCAAGGCAGGGAGAAACTGTGGTTCTGCAGAGGCTTTTGGTCTCCAGCCTCCGCCATCCCAGACCATTGGGCATGCTGACTGATGGGAGTTGAGGATCTAGCAGCATCTGGAGGACCACAGGGGCCCCACCTCTGAGGAAGCGGGTCTTGTGCTTTGAACTGGATTGATACTTTTTGGCTTCCTAGGCCTCGCTCGGATCCAGCCCTCTTGTACTGTGGGTGTGGTGTGGCCATGCAGACAAGATTAGAATGGTAGAATCGTAGAGTTGGAAGGGACCATGAGGATTGTCTAGTCCAACCCGTGGGACTCAAACCCACGACCCCAAGACTAAGAGTCTCCTGCTCTACCAACTGAGCTAAATGTGGCGTTTTGCTTACTGCCAGAGACATTAACAATGCCTTTCTTCTTCTAGGGCAAAATATTTCAAGGGGAAGAAGCTTCATGGGGAGATGGACATCAAAGTTGAGCAGGTAAGCCAGTGTCCAGTGTGGGGGACTCAAGAGCCAAAAGCCTTATGGGCTCAGGCTGGAACCTAGTGAGGACTCTCCACAGTCCACACTCTCCACAGGCTCTGACAAGAATAGGGATGTGCACCATCTTGGCACCTGGGACCGGCAGGCGGAGTGGAGCAGTTGACTTGGCTTTGCTTGCTATCATTGGCCTGGGCTTGGCTAACAGGATGGTGTATTCTGTTTGCTGTGGTTGCAGCTCCTCCATCTTGAGCTGGAAAGCACATTTGTCTAAACCCAGAAGCAGCACCCACCTTTGGGTACCTATGGCAGCCCTCGACTTGCAGCCTGGTCCACTGCTGGCCCCTGCTCTACCAGCCCCACCCCAGCTGGTGCTTCAGTCAGTGATGGGTGGCTCGGTCCGGGAGCTGCCATTTTAAATCTCCACAATGTCCTCAAGGTAGCATCTTTTTGTGGCATTGTGGGAAATATAAATGGCTGCCTCTTGGTGTTGCAGCTGATCCAGAGCACTCCTTGGGGCCAACCAAGGGTGCCAACGTGAATAATATATGGGTGGGCCAGCTAAGCCCCACCCTGCATAATTGTTCACGTGATGTGCACACACATCGTTTGAATGGCAATGCACATCAAATTTGGGCCTCCCCCAGCTCCCTATGGGGCCAACTGATCTAAGAGCAGAACTCCTCAAACCTGTGGTCCTGTTTGTGACCCCAGACTGACACTAGTCGCCTGCATGCACATCGCCAAAATTTGTCACTGAGGAAGCTCACATTTTAAACCCTGAAGACACCATGTGTGTCTGCAGTTGGCAATAAACGGCCACACTGCCCGTTTATGAAAGAAGCCCAGGCCTCATCCTGACCCTCTCTGTCCTCCCTGGGGGAGGCAAAGTTGCTGTTCATTGTTCACTCTCTTCCCCCCGGCCTGAGGCTGAGCCCAGGGCAAGGTCTGAGGCGGCTTTTGTGGCTGAGCCACTGGCGCAAACCTCTGCCTGACTCAGAAATAATGGACGCAACAACCACAGTGAGAGCAGGAAGTGAAACTCAGGGCTGATGGTTTAGGTCAGCAGTTTCCAAGAAGTCTTACTTTCTGAGAATCCTTTTAACATCACTTTGTCTCCCCCTTTTTTATTTCAAAGGGGAAACAAACAAACAGACTCACACATACAAAAACACACAACATGCAACAGAAAGCAGACCTATGTAAACCCCTATAAGAAAAGTGTTCAGCTCAAACAATTGTGCATCATATTCTGAATCTCTTCTGAAGATTGATAGATGCATTGGCATTTAATTGTTGGTTTGTCGTTGGAGGAACCTCTGTGCATTATGGTGAAGTCTGTTGTGTTTTGGGTGCACACTGAGTTCATGCAGGGCGGTTGCTTAGGTCTTGGTTTACCCATGTGAACTGAGAATGAGCCTTGCAATGGGGGAGGCGGAATTCAGGCTGGTTGGAGCTGCTTTCTTCTTTTACTTGAACCCCAAAGTCTACCGACCTTGTGCAAAATGCACATACACCATTTATTCATTAATTTTATTTATTCTTAAATTTGCACACCACCCTATACCTGCACATTTCAGAGCAGTTACAACATAAAATCACAATATAAAAACAATACTTAATAAAAACAAAAACAACACGATTAACCTCCCCCTCCCCAACATATTTTTAAAAGGCGTTGGATGTCAGTCAGCTCAAGCCCTGGTTAAAAATGGGCTTCTTTTAACTGCTGCGATGTGAAATTGTGCTTTTCCCCCTTGGACCAGGCATGATTTTTTTTAGCTAATACCCAGGGCCGTCTTTAGCAGATGTGGCACAGGGGTGCAAATATCCGCCCAGCGCCCCCAAATTACCACAGATAGTGGGGGGATGGCGAAGCTGCGCACTGTCAGCCATCGGGAGGGCAACTCTCCCCCATGCCACTGCGGGAGAGCAATATGGCAGCTGGTGGGTGTGCAGGGAAAGCGGAGGCTGCCGGCAAAGCCGCGCAGCTCCCCCACTTGCTGGGGCGCCCCTGAGAGGCTGGTGCCCTGGCGCGACGCACCACTAAGCCCTATGGGAAAGATGGCTCTGCTAATACCAGTCCAATGCCCTTGAGTGAGGGGTGTGGTAGCTTTTTGGTTCTATATATTGTGTTGTAGCTGCACTGGATGAGTGTACACAGAAAGGCAGTCTAAAAACATTTATAAATAAATAAAATTCCTGATCTTCTTACTGAAGAGATTCTTGAAAGGACCACGGGGTTTCCTGGGACTTAAGTCAGCACACGAAACCATTCCAGTTGCGAACCTGCGAACTGTCCTGCCTATGTCTTTCAGGCTTTCTGTGTATACCTGGTCCCTCCATAGAGTCAGGAGGGGGGCTGCTGACTGTACTGTGTGTGCTGCTTGGTCCATGACTAGCTCTTGTGGGTGTCTCCTGCAGGCAGAGTTCTCCGATCTCAACCTGGTGGCTCATGCCAATGGCAACTTCTCCGTTGACATGGAGGTTATACGCAATGGTGTTAAGGTAGTCAGGTAAGTGGCAGTGCCTGTCCTTCGGTGGCTCATTCAGCTTGTTTTTGGTTTTTTTAATGATATTTATTACTTTTCCAACAATTTAAACACAATACTACAAAGGAAAAAAAAGAACAATAAAATACAATACAAAAACACTACATAACACTGACACATTAAACTAACATAACCAAACAAAAACAATTAAAAACACATCACGCAATTTTAATATCTTATCTTTCATTCACTTATTTCCACGACCTCCTCACACCTCCCTTTTTGTATTCCACTTCTATTAGTTGTTTCAGCAATTCCTTTCCATCTTCCTCTGTTTTCTATCCTCTAATTATCTTAACCCATTCTAACCTTATTTTTCCTTTAATACTCTATTAATCTATTTATACTTAATTCCTTATAACATTTCTACTAAAGCCATATCACTTCATTCCATCATTCTTCTAACATTCATTAATTTTACAATGTTTCTGTAAATAGTCTTTAAACTTTTTCCAGTCTTCTTCCACCGACTCTTCTCCCTGGTCTCGGATTCTGCCAGTCATTTCTGCCAGTTCCATATAGTCCATCAACTTCATCTGCCATTCTTCCCTGGTGGGTAGATCTTGTGTCTTCCAGTGCTTTGCAATGAGTATTCTTGCTGCTGTTGCTGCATACATAAAAAAAGTTCTATCCTTCTTTGGCACCAATTGGCCGACCATGCCCAGGAGAAAGGCCTCTGGTTTCTTCAGGAAGGTATATTTAAATACCTTTTTCATTTCGTTATAAATCATCTCCCAGAATGTCTTAATCCTTGGGCATGTCCACCAAAGGTGAAAAAATGTACCTTCAGTCTCATTACATTTCCAACATTTATTATCGGGCAACTGGTAAATTTTTTCAAGCTTAACTGGTGTCATGTACCACCTATAAATCATTTTCATTAAATTTTCTCTTAGGGCATTACATGCCGTGAATTTCATACCTGTGGTCCATAACTGTTCCCAGTCAGCCATCATTATATTATGTCCAACATCTTGTGCCCACTTAATCATAGCTGATTTCACCATTTCATCCTGAGTGTTCCATTTCAACAGCAAGTTATACATTCTTGACAAGTTCTTGATTTTTGGATCTAACAATTCTGTTTCCAATTTTGATTTTTCCACCTGGAAACCAACTTTTTTGTCCAATTTGTATGCCTCCATTATTTGATAATAATGGAGCCAATCTCGCACTTTGTTTTTCAATTTTTCAAAGCTCTGCAATTTTATTCTGTCTCCATCTTGTTCCAGAATTTCCCAATATTTCGGCCATTTGGCCTCCATATTGAGTTTTTTCTGTGCCTTCGCTTCCATTGGTGACAACCATCTTGGGGTTTCCCCCCCTAACAGATCCTTATATCTTATCCAAACATTAAACAATGCTTTTCTAACTATGTGATTTTTAAACGCTTTATGTGCTTTTACCTTATCGTACCACAGATATGCGTGCCAACCAAATGCATTATTGAAACCTTCTAGATCCAACACTTCAGTGTTTTCAAGAAGCAGCCATTCTCTCAGCCAGCAAAAAGCAGCTGATTCATAATAAAGTTTAAGGTCTGGCAGGGCAAATCCACCTCTTTCTTTGGCGTCAGTTAATATCTTAAATTTTATTCGAGGCTTCTTGCCCTGCCAAACAAATCTAGAAATATCTTTCTGCCACTTCTTGAAACAATCCATCTTATCCAAAGTTTGCAATGTTTGAAAAAAAAATAACACCCTTGGCAACACATTCATTTTTATCACAGCAATTCGGCCTAACAATGATAACTTCAAATTTGTCCATACTTCTAAATCCTTTTTCACTTCAATCCAACATTTTTCATAATTATCCTTAAATAAATTCACATTTTTGGCAGTCAAGTTAACCCCTAAATATTTCACTTTCTTAACCAATGTTAGTCCTGTCTCCTCCTGAAACTTCTCTCTCATTCACAGTTAAATTTTTCTCTAAAACCTTAGTTTTCGTCTTATTCAGCTTAAAACCTGCTACCTGTCCGAATTCTTGAATCAGTTCCAATACCCTTTTAGTACTGGGTTCTGGCTCCTGTAAAGTCAATACTAAGTCATCAGCAAATGCTTTCAGTTTGTACTGTTTAGCTCCCACTTGTATACCTTTAACCTCTTGGTCCTTTCTAATCATATTTAACAAAACCTCCAGGACCGATATAAAGAGCAATGGAGAAATTGGGCAACCTTGTCGTGTCCCTTTCTCAATCTTAAACTCTTCTGTCACCACATTGTTCACAATTATTTTTGCCTTTTGTTCTGAATAAATTGCACCTATACCATTTTCAAAACCTTGACCTACCCCCATCCCCTGTAGATTCTTCTTCATAAAACTCCAAGAAATGTTGTTGAAGGCTTTCTCTGCATCCACAAATATCAAAACTGCCTTAGTATTAATATTCACTTGTAGTTTTTCTAGAATATTAATTATATTCCTCATATTGTCAGACAAATGTCTGCCCGGGAGAAAGCCCGCTTGGTCTTTATGAATTTCTTCTGCTAACACCTTTTTTAATCTTTTATCCAAAATATCTGCAAAAATTTTGTAGTCCACATTAAGCAACGATATAGGGTGGTAGTTCTTGAGCTGTGTCTTTTCAGTCTCTATTTTCGGTATAAGTGTAATGTAAGCTTCCTTCCACGACTCTGGTGCCTGTCTCCCTTCCAATATTTCATTGCAGACTTCCTTCAATGGTTGTATTAACCACTCTTTCAAAGATCTGTAATATCTTGAAGTCAAACCATCTGGTCCTGGAGATTTACCTAGTTGCATGTTCTGGATGGCCCCTTCCACCTCCTGATCCGTTATTTTATAATTCAACATTAGCTGTTTTTCCTGAGAGATTTTGTGTAGTCCATTTATTTTCAAAAATCGATCAATGTCCATTTCTTTCTGCTTCTCCTGTGTATAAAGTTGTTTGAAATACCTCTGAAAACACTTCCTGATCTCCACTGGGTTCTGTATATTCTTTCCTTCCACTTCCAAATTCGTAATAGTATTGAGTTTTTGCCTTTTTTTCATTTGCCAGGCTAGCAATTTTCCACACTTGTTTGCCGATTCAAATTTCTTTTGCCTCATCTGTTTAATCTTCTATTCTATTTCCTGATTCGTCAGCTTCATATATTGTACTTGATATAACTTTATCTCTTTCAGGATCTCCTGTGACTTTGGTTTTGCCCTCAGTTTCTTCTCTCCTTCCTTTATTTTCTCCAGGATTTTATCCTTTTTCTCATTCTGCATTCTCTTCTTAATTACATTCTGTTGTATTAGGAATCCTCTCATAACCGCTTTGCTTGCGTCCCAAATTACTCTTTTTTCCACTGTAGTGTTCATATTTATCTCGAAATAATCTCTTAGAGTTTTTTGGGCCTTCTTAGTCACCTCTTCGTTCCTGAACAAAGTATCGTTCATCCTCCATCTAAATGAACCAATTGGCGTCAATTTCATTTCCATCTTCACAGCATTATGGTCAGAACAAGTTTGTGGCAAATCTCCACTTTGCTGATCTTCGGAACCAATCCCATGGTTACCCAGATTTGGTCAATTCTTGTCCATGTCATTTTAACCTCAGAGAAGAAAGTTCCCTCTCTTCCCAGAGGGTTCTTCATTCTCCAAATGTCAACTAAGTCCATATTTTCAGTCATGTCAAAAAAGGTTTTTGGTAGTCTACCATCTTTGGTGACTACCTGTCTCTGTGCCTTGTCCATATTTGTAGACACCACTCCAGTCATATCCCCCATCAAGATCATATTATAGTCCATATAATCCATCAGAGTCTCGTGTAGCTTCTTAAAAAACTCTGATTTTCCTTCATTTGGTGCGTAAATACCTACAATCAGGAATTTCTCTCCTTGTGATTGAATTTCAATTGCAACAAATCTTCCGTTGTCATCTTTGAATATGAATTTCGGTGATAGGCTCTCCTTTGCATAAAGGACCACTCCTCTTTTTTTAACTTTATCTGATGAGATAAATTCTTGGCCCAGTCTTTTATTACTCAATATCTTCCTGTGGAGCCTTATCACATGTGTTTCTTGTAAACAAATCAAGTCTAATGTTCTTTTTTCAATAAATGAAAGACTCTCCGCCTTTTTTCTGGAGAGTTCAGTCCATTCACATTCCAGCTCGAAACCTGCAATGCCATCATGTAATTACACTGATACTCCTCCAACTGCACCCAATGCTTGCTCTTCTGTTGGTGGTGGTGATGACGCGTTCACTGGGAGATCCAATCCAAAGGATAGTGCTGATATGTCCAATATTCCCCTGTTTGGTGATTTTCTATTCGATGCTCTTTGCTCTAGTCCTCTATCCAATGATCTTCTATCCAATGCACTTGGCTCTTTTCCAAGTTCCTTCTGCAGATCTTTCGTATTTATACAGAAACTTTACTTTATCTTCTACTGATGTTATTTTTATTTTCCTTCCTTTGAAACTGAAAGATAGACCTTGGGGAAACTCCCACCTGAAGATGATTTTATTCCTTCTCAGCAGGGCAACAATATCTCCGTAGTTAGGCCTGAGATCCAAAAGGTATTTCGGAACGTCTTTAAAAATTTCCACTCTTGACTGTTGTACTTCTAGGTTCTTCTGGTAGTGCCAACCCAGGATTCTATCTCTCTCTTCTTTAGTTCGAAGGGTGATCAAACAGTCTCTTATTCTATTCTTCTCTTTTTTCCCTCCTCTTCCAAGTCTGAAGGCCCTCACAATTCTAAATTCTTCTTGACCCAAGTCCCAAAAGTCAGCAAATTCCTGTGTGAGAAAATCTGTCAAATTTTCCTTCTCCAATTCAAGTAGTGCTCTGATCCTCAAATTCGTCTGTTTTTCTTTAAGTTCAATCATGTTGTTGTTGTTTAGTCATTTAGTCGTGTCCGACTCTTTGTGACCCCATGGACCAGAGCACGCCAGGCACGTCTGTCCTCCACTACCTCCCGCAGTTTTGTCAAACTCATGCTGGTAACCTCGAAAACACT